ACTCTGACATGCTTTTTGACAATGGTCCTTCTGGCGATAAATATTACCTTGTGTATGAACAAGGACCTATGGAAGCCCTGCCTCTCTGTGTGGGGAGTTAATAATAGTAATTACTTCAAACATGCATCAAAAACACACCACTGAGACTGGAATGAGGAATGGAGGACAAGTATGCTTGGCACTGTTTTTAAACTAAGATGTGAGGGAAAGATGACAGGGTTTGAACAGAGACATCCCTTACAGAAGGATTTATTAAATGAGATACACTCTAGTCTAGTGAAGAAGAGAGGATAGAAGTTGGTAAAACACAAGTGAAGGAAAACATGCATAAGAGAAAGAGTCCCATTTCATTACATCACATAAGGGCAGATAAGTTAATACAGGCAGTCCCCGGGTTACGTACAAGATAGGGACTGTAGGTTTGTTCTTAAGTTGAATTTGTATGTAAGTCGGAACTGGCGTCCAGATTCAGCCGCTGTTGGAACTGACCAGCGGCTGACTACAGGAAGCCCGAGGCAGAGCTGCTCCATTTTCATAAAGAAATGTTTTGGTGGCTTCGACCTGCAACGTCTTTTATTTATATATTTCCTTCAATTTTATTTTAACACCCCCGCCCCACACACACACACCCCCCTCAAAAAACTCAAAATCTAAAATCATTTCGGTTGCTCCAAAATAAAATTTGATTAGATTTTTCAGATATTGTGAAAAATTTCAAGCTCCACCTAAAACCAAAATTTTATTTTATTTTTGATTTTTCAGAACCCTCATTGAACTGAAAAATCCATTCATCATGCAGCTTTACTTCAGGGATTTTTGGATCAGACTCTTTCATGTTCCACTACCTATAGCCATATTGATAGAGTACATGCAGTCCCCGACTTACGCGGATCCGACTTACGTCGGATCTGTAGTTACGAATGGGGCTTTTCTCGCCCTGGAGGACGCGGGCGGCGGGATTGTGGTGCGTCTGGGCGGTCCCGCCGCCCGCGTCCTCCGCGGTGAGTAAAGCCCTGTCTGTATGTAGGTATCCGACGTAAGTCAGATCCATGTAACTTGGGGACTGCCTGTATAGTCAAATTTTATATAAGTACTTGTATACAAATGCTAAAAGGCTAAATAATAAGATGGGTGAAATTGAGTGCACGGTATTAATTAAGGGTACGGATATAATAGTCTAACAAGTTTCTGTGATGAACAGTGATCATTAATGAAACACAACAGCAGCAGGGTACAAAATATCCAGGAATGACAGAATAGCTGGGAGTGACAGTATATGTCAAAGAAAACAGTCCAAATATAATAAAATCTTAAATGAATCAACTGTACCATAGAACCCCTGTGGGTAGATATTCCATGCCTGAAAAAGAATACAGCAATAATAATATACTACTGACCATCTGACTAGAAAGAACACTTTGACTGTAAAATGCTCAGGGAGATTAGAGAGGTTAACAACAAAGAAAATCCAATAATAATAGGGGCTTTCAATTATCTCCATATTGACTGGAGAGCCATCACCTCAGGACAGGATGCACAGATTATATTTCTAGATAACATCTGACTGCTTCTTGAAGAAGCTAGTCCTGGGACCCACAAGGGGAGAAGCAATTCTTGATTTCAGTAGTAAGTATGTGTTCCAAGTCAAACAGCTTGGAAATAGTGATTGTAATAGAACTAAATGTAACATCCTTCGGGGGGGGCGGGGGGGGGGGAATATACCAAAGAAACTAGGGATGTAAAGGGTTAACCAGTCACCCAATAAGTATGTTAACTGGCACTTGACTGGTCTGGAGAAGTCCCCTGCCCATGGAATGGTATGGCAGGCCCTACTGGGTCTGACCAGAGCAGTGCCCAACCTGGGTACAGGGGCCCTAGCTGGGCGAGCCCTCCATCCTGTGGCATGTTGCGGAGGGCCCTGCTTGAGGAGCTCCCATCTGCGGTGTGGCAGGCTTGGCCCAGTCAGGCTGGAGTAGCCCGCGGCACGGTGGACATGGCCAGGGTGGAAAAGCCTCCCATTCATGCCGTACTACAAGTGGTGGACTGCTCTAGCCTCGCCAGCCTGGAACAGCCCCTTGGACTTTGGGATTGGTTACCAGGTTAAACATAATGTTTAACTTTCTAAATGGGATTTTACATCCCTACAAGAAACTCATCACAGTAATATTTAAGTTGAAACTACACAAAAACAAGAAAGCTATGTAAATGGAAATTAAAAGGACCAGTCACAAGAGCAAAATGCATATAAATTGCATAGAAACTATTTAAAACACCACAATAGAGACTCAAACTAAATGCATATTCCCAATAAAGCAAAAAAGAACCCAAAAAAAATATTACTATGTCTAAACAAGAGAGTAAAAGAGGAGATAAAAGGCAAAGAAATCATACTTTAAAAATTGGAAATCAAATCACAATGAGGAAAATAGAAAGGGACAAAGTCAAGTGTAAGAACAAAAAGCAGGCCAAAAAATAAATTGAAGGACAACTAGATAGTGAAGAATTACAAAGGAATCTCACAAACTGGGTGACAAAATAGAAGGTGATATTCTGTTGAAAAGTACAGGTTGGACCTCGCTGGTTTGGCACCCTGGGGAGCTGACTGGTCCCGGACAAAGGGATTTGCCGGATCAGGGAGCCCCAGTTAAGGGAGTACTACCTATAATGCATATTGGAAAAAAATCCCCTCCCTCTAGACACATAAAACGTCAGGGTATAAATTAGATATTGGCACTCAAGAAAGATATCTTGCAATCAGTGCTTTTTTTTTTTTTAAATGTTGGCACTCCAGGGGAAAAGTTGTTGAGGAAAAAAAAAGGGGTGGTGGTGATGGAAGTGGAGCCAGCATTGCCCTTTTAAGACATGCGGCCCAGCCGACTGTCGGACATTAACATACAAAGGTGCTGGTATGTTCTGTTCTTTCCAGGTAAGCTCTGACTGGAAGTGCTGGTACTTCATCTGGAGGTGCCTGTACTGCGCACCAGGCAGTACCATCACAAAAAAAGCATTGCTTGCAATCATCATGGATAGTACCCTGAAAATATCAAACATGAAGAGGCAGTCAAAAAAAACTAACAGAATGTTAGGATCCAGTAGGAAAGAGGTAATAAAATGGAAAATACCATAAATGTTATATAAATCCATGAAACACAAACACACACACACACACAAGGCAAGCCAGGGGCTGCTTCCAACCCCCAGGCCAGAGGTTTCCCACCCCTGCCTTACAGGTGTGTGTGTGTTAAGAAATCCCCTATCCCAAGCTGGGACTGAAGTGGAAGTTAGAGGCATTGTATTAATATATATTGGTCACCTCCTTATTCCTCTGAAATTTACACACACACACACACACACACACACACACACACACCCCCCCACCCCCACCCACCCACCCCTCGAATACTGTGTACAGTTCTGGTTGCCTCATCTCAAGAAAGATACTTTATTTTGCATACAATTCTTTCAAACAACATAAGTAAAAAAACGAATCCTTTTTACTCTTGTTACAATTGAACTTCACCCCCAACTTTGCACCAAAGCAGACTCTGAAGTCAATGAGACCCAATCAGCTAGTATGTAAAGTCAGATTTCTAAGTACTGAAAAGACAAATGACAATTATAGATCAGGTTCATGCCAATATTAGTCTTGAGTAAGCTTGAGTTACATTGCTACAGTAAAAAAAAAAAAATCTTGCCTCTTATTTTAAGAGTGTTAATAGGAACGACCACCAATTAGTTTAGTTAGAAATATCCATGAATTCATCCTAATCTCCTACATATTTGAAAATAACCTGCATGCTATGTTTTCTAAAAGATTTTAAATTTCGCTAACTATATTAATATTAACAAAACACATAGATGGTATCATGAGCTTACCTGGGCACAGCCCACTTCTTCAGATGACCGGAGTTTTGAGTTTAGGATTTGCAGACCCAAAATAAATAGGAGGGGAGGGGCGAAGGAGGGAGTGGGAGATAGGGAGCAGAAGGTATAGAAAATCAGGAAGGTGCAGGGAATCAGTAAGTATCTGAAGATTGGAATGTAGCTGATGGACTCAATCGTGATGAAGGATGGTTGGGACACTATCTACCTAACAGTCAATGAAGGTGCAAACAGCTCTTTGTGTAGATTCCTATGTCAGGAAGGATACTATCAATTGACTTTGACTACCCAATCTTCAGATTCTTACTGATTCCCTCCACCTTCCTGATTTTCTATACCCTCTGCTCCCTTCCCCACCCGCTCCTCTCCTATTTATTTTGGGTCTGCGCATCCTAAACTCAAAACTCCGGTCATCTGAACAAGTGGGCTGTGCCTACAAAAGCTCATGATACCATCTGCATATTTTGTTTGTCTATAAAGTACTACCAGACCATTTGCTGTTTTTTTCTGTACAGACTAACTCGGCTACCCCCTGAAGCTTCTTTATTAATATTACCTGCAATTTTTCAAATAATGTTATTAAGTGTATACTTTCCCTCATAAATTTTACCAATAATAGTCTAAGACAAACAAACAAACAAACAAACAAACAAACAAACAAACAAACAAAGGCATGACAAAAATGGGGGTAGAGTGAGAGAAAGAGGGAGGCTTTAAGGAATTTTTATAGTCTCCCAAACCTGAAGTCAGCACAAGCCTAAAAGTTAATGTCTCCTGGCTGCCAATAGCCACAAGAGTTCATCTTAATCATTTGGAACCACCTGAACATAGAAAGGATGAGGCCACGGGAATACTCCCTGAACTGAGGGCCAGAAGAGGTGACCAGGTGTAGGAGCCTACAGTCTGGGAACCTCTTACCAAATTGTTTAGGAGTCACTATATTATGTATACTTATCATCCATGGACCCTCAAAGCAAAGGTCTCAGTAGCTTGGATCCATCAAGCTTTACTGCTGTTAGTCATCTGAGCAGTGCAAATTAGCAGGAGCTGTGCAGTGGATCTGGACTTGTCTTTCTATAAGTGTGTGTATGAAATAATAAATAATAATGTCAACTCACCAGTCATAGATGGTGCCACTTTTCTTTGCCCTTTGTGGTCCATAGTACCTTCATATGCTATTGTAACATCATAAACTGCATCTAAGTAGTTCTTCATTGTGTCAATGGCAACATGAGTTGCTTTTACACGTGGTGTCACCACATGTTTTAATACTGTAAGCCCTAGAAAAGAGCATAAAACACATTGATAGGAGAAAATTAACTGGACCTATGTTCCTGCTTCCCATCTCACTGGGATATAAAGTGAGTTGAAATTGGGAAGATATGTTAGAACATAACGATTGTTTCCTGAAATTTGCTGGAACCAACTCAAGAAAGTGAAATATGAACACAGGTAAATTCAAAAAAGTTTAATATTCGCCCAACATCTTACTCCCAGAGTGCAAACAATTCCTCCACTAAATATTGAGTTCCCACTACCCACTGATCTCAGTAACATAGAAATCTATTCAAATTATGTATGATTAGACAGGATGCTATTCTTGGCCCCACCTGCAAAGTGTAAGTGGTGATTTCAATATGCTTACATTGTTTCTCCTCCTGAAATATTGATTCTCCCTCTTCCACAAGGTACTGAATAACCACAATCATCTGACTGTCTCAGAAGCCACAAATATGGATACTGTGATAACCCATTAATGCCAGCTTTTCAGTTTGCCAAAGGGGGCTGATTAAGAGCAATCAAATATCTTTCTCTATACAAAGAACCAAATTCTGTTCTTAACTAAAATGATGCTGGTATCTGAATAATTCAGTCCTCCTCTCTGCGTATGCATGTTTCTTTGCAACTTCTGTTCCTCATCCCATTTTCTCTACGAATTTGTTTTCACTTTGCATAACATGACATCAGTACTGCTTATGCCAGCATTGCCAAGGGAGCGCTGTTTGAAATAGCAGCAACATCACAACTGGGTAGGACCCTACCCAATTTCATAGCTGTGAAAAGCTTGTTATGAATGGTTAAATCTGCCCTTCCCCATGAAATTCAATCTCCCCATGCTGTTGGAAGCCCAGGCACAAGGTTTTTGCCACCGGTTTCTCCAGCTAGAGCATGGGTTCTTCCCCCATAGCTCCTGACAGAATCTGGGATGACTGACTAAGTAGATAGAGGTACAGCCTTTGGGGCTCCTTCCGGGGCTGGGACACTCATTTTTCTCAGGGGTCCACAAATTGGCCTGAAGGCAGCACAGAAGTGAAGGTGGCATTCTTGGGACCTCCTCCCAACAACTTTGCAAACTGCCCCTCCCCCACAATCCCATTTTGCGTCAGGACCTGCACAGTGAGACCACCATGAAATTCTAGATGTAAACATATGAAATTGTGAAATTAACCAATTTGAAATCTCTCCGGCCATGAAATTGACCAGAGTGGACTGTGAATCTGGTGGGGCTCTACAAATGGGATCCAGCTATTAAGAATTTTGAAAAAGCAAAGGACAGTAAAAACATGCATATTCTCCAGTGCCACATCACATTTAACTTGAAAATATATGATTAATCCTGTTTCCAGTTTTATAAAATCAAGCCAGAAAACAGGCAAAAGATAAGTTAGGATAGGATAGAAGGAAAATGATTATACATAAGGCGTGAAATAAGTATTCTACAGAAATAATATTTTGCTAATAATGTGAATCATGGAGTACATTATTATGAAGCCAGAGACTGAAAAGAGACAAGGTTGTTTTGTTCAGATATTTGCAGTGGATAACTGTTCACTATGAAATCTATTTGAGTGTTCTCTCCACACCAATTTTAAATAGAATCAAGCAGCAGGTCTTTCACAACTTCACTTGAAAGATTACTATACAGTCTAATATCTCATATTATATTGTTCCTTTGATTCAACCTAATTTCTGTTCCATTTTTCCTAAGTAAGCCTTTTAGATTACTAAATAATCCATCCTTATGACAGTAGTAATTGTAGCTGTGTGTTTTGATTGGCTCAGCACAGCCATTTGATATATAATATTTGATAATGCAACTGATAAGATTTGTTTAAAAACACTGTATTTCAAGCATGAAAACTGAAGTCTTTGCATTTCTGACCTGTTTAGCAACGCAAACCTGAACTTTTATTTGTGAATTTTACTCGCCACACGTGCTTTTTATTTAATTTAAAATCTGATGGCTTTCAAAAGTGTTCTTTAGAAAACATCTCTTCATACTAACTGAAGCATTCATAAGCTTTGACTACTCATAAGCCTTGACTACTCAGCTTATTTTCTGTATCTTCTTTAGTATACAGCTAGGAAAGAATTATTTTCCCACCAGGGAGGAAAAAAATTAGTTACAAAAGTCAAGATATGAGAAGGAATGAATTGTATTTACCAATGACTGCTAAAAGGGCCTACAGCCTTCCATCAATAAATTATAACACCACCCATTAAAGGTAGCAAAGTTTGATGTGATCTTAGGGTACAATAGATCCCCAAGCAAACACCTTGCTATTTGCAAATAAATATATGTCTTAAGACTAGACCAACAAGTTGTGGAAATACAGTTTTCAAAGGTAAATTATTCAACTCCATTAAGAAAGCAGGCACATAATGAGGTGGACGGAATACTCACTCCTCATGGAATACCCATTTTTTCAAACACAGTAAAGATGAGCAGATGAAGATCTAATTCAAAAAGATACTCAAGCATGTGCCTGACTTGCTTGCTTCCAGCTGACAGGTACATAAGAAGATAGTGCAGCAAGTAATTAAGGAATTCATCTGCTAACATCTGGAAGATAATGAAGTGATAGGTAACAGCCAGCATGGATTTGTAAAGAACAAATCACGTCAAACCAATCTGATAGCTTTCTTTGATAGCATATCAAGCCTTGTGGATAAGGGAGAAGCAGTGGATGTGATATACCTAGACATTAGTACAGCATTTGACACGGTCTCACATAACCGTCTTATCAATAAACTAGGGAAATACAACCCAGATGGGGCTACTGTAAGCTGGATGCATAACTGGCTGGATAACCGTTCTCACTAGTTATTAACAGTTCACAATCATGATGGAAGGGCATAACAAGTGGGGTTCTGTTTAATGTCTTCATCAGAGATTTAGATGATGGCACAGAGAGTATGATTAAATTTGCAGATGATACCAAGCTGGGAGGGGCTGTAAGTATTTTGGAAGATAAGGTCAAAATTCAAAATGATCTGGACAAACTAGAGAAATGGTCTGAAGTTTAATAAGGACAAATGAGAAGTCCTCCACTTAGGAAGAAACAATCCATTTCACACATACAGAATGGGAGAGTGTGTCTAGGAAGGAGTACTGCAGAAAGGCCACCTAGAGGACCACAAGTTAAACAAGAGTCAACAGTGTGACACTGTTGCAAAAAAAGCCAACATATTTCTGGGATGCATTAACAGGAGTGTTGTGAGCAAGACATGAGAAGTCATTCTTCTGCTCTACTCTGCACTGATTAGGCCTCAATTGGAGTATTGTGTCCAGCTCTGGGCACCACATTTCAATAAAGATGTGGAGAAACTGGTGAAGGTCTAGAGAAGAGCAACAAAAATGATCAAGTTCTAGAGAACATGACCTATGAGGGAAGACTGAAAGAGTTGGGCTTGTTTAGTTTCAGAGAGACTGAGAGGGGACATGATAGCAGTTTTCAAGTATCTAAAAGGGTGTTACATGGAGGCGGGAGAAAAATTGTTCTCCTTGGCCTCTGATGATAGGACAAGAAACAATGGGCTTAAACTGCAACAAGGGACAAAATGACATTAGTTTAGACCTTAGGAAAAACTTCCTAACTGTCAGGATGGTTAAACACTGGAATAAATTGCCTAGGGAGGTCGTGGAATCTTCATCACTGGAGATATTTAAGAGCAGGTTGGATAGACATCTATCAGGGATGATTGATAGTGCTTGGTCCTTCCATGAGGGCAGGGGACTGGACTCTACGACCTCTTGAGGTCCCTTCCAGTTCTAGTATTTTGTGATTCTGTGAAAACAGAAGAGAGGTCGAGGCAGATGTGACTCTATGGTTAGTGGCAAAATGTGGAATTAAGAAAACAACTGTGAAGGAATGTCAAGAAGTCTACATTAACTGAACAGCTAAAGTTCCCGAGTTTTCCTGAGGAATACCAACGTGTCCACTAAAAGACAGTGTCTTTCACCCTGGTTCTGTCTGAATGAGGGGAGATGTAGGTGACTGGACAAAAAAAAGTACATAGTTTCATAGACTTCTAAAACTTTTAATCAAAATATTTAAAATCAATAATTACTTCATCTGACCATTCCCATTTCTATATAAGAAAAAATACTTTTGAACACAGAATATATGTACTTTAATCTGTGTTTGACAATGAAACTATGATCTAGTTCCACAAAGTTTGAACGTGCACTGAATCTCAGAAACAGATGGTCTGAAGTCAGTGTTTTGGTTTTTTAAAAATACTTCTATAAAATGAACCACATGTGAAGTGAAAAATTCCAGTCTCTTGCTGTTAACAAAACTTTTTCTCCAAGTAAAATATTAGAAGGCTTTGGAGGTTACTCACTTTTAGCCTCAACTGTTACAAGAAGATATTTTATCTTTTGTTGGTTGTGTATCAAAAATGTTCTTCTTTAAACTGCCTGGTCTCAGACTGCCTGCTAACTTAACACCAGAGTTCCCAAAGCAAAGAGTACTGCTTAAAGAATTTTTGAATTTACAGAGTTAAATATTAACAGTTTCTTTTTGCTTAGGCCTTGACAAAAACACTGCAAAATTAAAAAGATTTGCAAGTGACTGTTACCTCTACTTTCTTTAAATAACTCTTTACAGTGCAGAAGACTACAAGAATGCTATGACAAAGTTTGAGATAACATGAAGTATTTTTGGGAGAACCTCTAGGAATTTTTTTCACTTCCTGACCTAAAACTGTGAAACTTCCTCATAATACTGCTGTGTGCTATTAAACAATTGCAGTTTCCAAAGTGAAAACTGAAAGGATCTGTATAAATTATTATCTCTATTTTGCTTCTTTAGGTACAGGCAGTCCCCGGGTTACGTACAAGATAGGGACTGTAGGTTTGTTCTTAAGTTGAATTTGTATGCAAGTCGGAACTGGTACATATTGTAGGGGAAACTCTAGCCAAACATTTCTCCAGAGCTCAGTTTTATTCTCCCACACCTCACTTCCCTCAGTCCTTTATTCTCAAGCTGAGGTG